ACGTGATAATTGCACTATTATCATTTTCCAAGGTAAAATTTCCTATCAAACAGCCATTCTATTTTCCATGGAAAAGAGTAGCTATAAAACATAGCCTAAGTTATCACATGGTACATATAAAAATTTGACCCACTCCAATTTTATTTTTTATTCTTTTGATAATGGCCATAGTTGAAAAGTATAAACAAGGGGATGACGTGACGATTTGAAAAGATACCATTTGTGTTTTTATTTTATTTTTTTGGGTTATTAGAAGGAAAGAATTAGATGAAAGGTTGGAGATTAAATTGATTTCTATAAAAGAAGATAACCACGTTGCTTTTATACAAATAGATTGAGGTCATAGTAATGCAATTTCTCTTTTGAATATTGACCAATCCGTCCGGGTTTTTCTAAGTTTCATTGTTTTCGCGTAGTGAAACAGTTTGTGTGCCAGATTTTCGTTTGTGTGGGGGCCAATCGATTGGTTGGCGATGGTTCGTTTAAGTGGATTATATATAGTTAGAATAATTGCACATGTCGTCTCCAAACTATACTACTTTGATGTCCTACGTTCTCCATTCATTTTTTTTTGTCCCACTCATATTCCCATACATTAGTTTTTGGTATACTTAAGTCCTTCTGGATTGAAATGAATCCTCTTTATTTCTTTAAAACAATTAAAAATAAATAAAAAGGGAAAAAGTGAAAGTAAATGATAAGAAGAAAAGCTTACAAACCACCCTAAACCTCCATGCCTCAACCCAAGTGAAGAAATCTTCTTCAATCCCCTTTCCAATTTTCCCTAAATTGAAGGGAAAGGGTTTCCAGCAACAGTGGAATCTGTCACTTGGTTATAATGAAATCAGAGGCAATTTGTTGGTACGATGATGATAGGGGGTTTAGGGTGTTGAGAAGGCATTGATGATGGGTTGGCAAGATATTTTTTCGTTTACATTTTCTTTTCCTTTTAAATTGTTTTTATAAGAATATATTTGAGTATACTATATTACCATTTAAAAAGGAGGTCAGACGTAAGTCGGGTAACATTTGACAAAATAATAGATTTTTTTTAGATGAGCATATTCCAATGTCAATCTTGATCCAAAGAGAACTGGAGTGGTACCCACGAAAATCTTAATAATAGAACCAGTATTTCATGTCTAATTATGGTAGTAGAACAGATTTTTACATAAATATGTTCCCTTAAAAGTTTTAAAATAGACTAAACTATGCAAATTTTAATTATGATCTATTTTTTCTAAGGTTGATTAACAATATAGCATGGTATGTCTAACTTACGCAAATGGAGTATCTTAAATGATGGTAATGAGAAATATGTAAGGTAGAATGTACAAATAGCTTAATCCATGCAAATATTATCAATGTAACTAATCATGTTTATTATCCAACTTAAGTACCACTCACTACAACTAATCAAGTATTTTTATCTAAAATAAGGAGACACTATTTTAAAAAATGAACAAAACATATAATCAACGAAGTGTAAAATGATTGTTTAATTTGTTTATCATGGTTTCATTACACTAACATTAAAATAATATGTAAGGCTAAATGAAGTCGGGATAACTGTTGCTTTGCTCAGTTCTATAGGTGGAATTGAGAACCAACCTAATGATTTTGGTGAACCCCTAGTATGAACCCTAAACGCTAAACCCTAAACCCTAGACGTTGTTCCACCAATTGAACCAACTTGCAACAAAATTGATAGTTTGGAGACCTGAATGCAACAAAAAATTGAGTGAGAATCCAATATGGGATCGTCCTATCTACACCAGCTTTTTTTATGGGAGCATTGCCCTTCGGATATTCTTCACAATTTGCATGATTCCAGTTAGCTCTCAATTACTGCTGTTTGGCCGACTTTTTCATATTATTTTAAATTTAAAGTAATAGTAGCGATGAAAATTATAAAAAATTTATTGTTAAAATAATTTTAAAATAATGTCCAACGACAACACATGTCGTTATAGTTTGAGTCCATGTTTGGTAAATTTAACTCAAAGTTAACAATGAATTTTTAAATACATATTTTATGGGTTCTACAACTTTTCAACCACATATTTCATCAACTTTTATTAAAATTCATTAAAATCTTGATTTTAATCTCTATCAAACGGTG